AAGATAAAGCAAAGTTATTATCCTGAAAATTCAGTTCTTTTTTTGAAAATTCTGCCAGCCTATGTACATGCACATGTACCCAAGAACTTAAAATAAAATTTGAAGAATCAAAATTTTAAAACTCTATCATGTAACTCAATTGGAGTCAATTCCTTTTTTACCTACATTACTGAAAAGTGGTATTTTTGTCCTAATGGTTTGATTTCATAGTTTATGCAACTACTCTTACATTATTTCTGTGGACCTTCATACGGATAAGCTAAAAAGATACCCACCTTCAAGTGTTTTCTTCACCTTTTAAACATTCTCCATATTTGAAAATGGAATTGGGGTCTATGCACATAGATAACTAAATCTTTTTAGTAGTCCTATGATATAAACTATGAATTAGAGTTTCATAGTTTTTTTTTTCTTTACGTATAATAACAATAGCAGAAACAGCTAATATTTAGTTGGGTTTTTTTTGTTTTGCTGTCATGGTGCTTAGATATGTTCTATCTCATTTAATCCTTACAACCCTGAGGCAGGTAAATACATAAAAGGAAGCCACAAAGACTCAAAAGTTTAAAAAAAGTACTCGATTCAAATAGCTACAAGTGACCCATCTGGCTGGGACTTAACCCAGATCTGTTTGATTCTAGAATGTACTGCACAACCTTTTTAATTAATAGAATAGAATAAAATAGAATGGATTTCCCCTACCAAATGTTGTATTTCATTCAGGAGGATACGGCTTGCATGACCTAATCACTTTCCCAAAGGCCCCGCCTCTTAATTCTATCATATTGGATATTAGGTTCCAACATGAATTTGGAGTGGGAGTGGGTGAATGGGAACACCAAGATTCAGACCATAGCTATTATACTGCTCAAAGATAACAACAAAAAATTAATATTTGGATATGATGGTTACAAGTTGTAGTCATAAAGCACTAAAAACACTTACAATTTTGGAGGGTTATAAAATGTTGAGATAACTCAGATTCACATAAACTAGATAAGAATTGTGTACTACTTTCCCCAACCACTCACCTTGCAATCTCAGGATGTTCTTTATTCGATTAAACAGTGAGGATAGAAAGAACCTTACTCCTTAGTCTTAGGAAAATTGAGTTAACCTGTATACATGGAAAAAGGCAGATAGTTCAAGCTGAGTTTTTTAAATGACAAGTTTTGTTGTTGTTGTTGTTTTTAGACAGTCTTAATCTGTTGCCCAGGCTAGAGTGCAGTGGTACAATCTCAGCTCACTGCAACTTCCGCCTCCTGGGTTCAGGCGATTCCCATGCCTCAGCCTCCTGAATAGCTGGGATTTCAGGCAGGCACTACCACACCCAGCTAATTTTTGTATTTTTAGTTGAGACAGGATTTTGTCATGTTAGCCAGGCTGGTCTTGAACTTCTGGCTTCAAATAATCCACCAGCCTCAGCCTTCTGAAGGGCTGGGATTATAGACATGAGCCATCGTGCCTAGCCTAAAATGACAGTTTTAAACATAATTAGAAAATATGTAAAAGGTGAAATGTGAATCAAATATTTGTGCAAGCCCAGGGTTGGTGGTGGGCACTACTAGAACACTGCTGCACTGGGCAGTGTGCCAAATTTTGCGTAATATAAGACAGCAGTTTAGCAGCACTTTTTAAAGTTGATCAATAGAGTCAGCCAATTTAAGTTAAAACAAATGCATTGTGTTTTCCTTTGGGCAATTAACTTAGTAATTAATAACTTAACTCACTCTTTCTGAAAAAAATTAAGCCATTAATACAGGGATAGTGTATGACTCTAAAATTACTAGAAAAAGGCATGTCTAAATATTTTTAAAATTTCTATAATGGCAAATGTTAAATATAATCCAAAGTAAAAAGACTAATTAAATACATTCTCATAAAGCTATCATGTGGTTTCAACACTGTGAACTCATAACCAATCTTGTTTCATCTAAATAGTTCCTCTCATCCCAGCCCAAGCCATGGATCAATTTGAAGCAAATCTCAAACAGCATATCTTTTCTTCTGAAAGTATTTCATAGGTGTTCTAAAAGATGGAAGGGTTTCCTTTAAGAACATAACCACAGTCCTATCATTCCAGTATTCCTTACTGTCATCAAATATCTATTCAGTATGTTCATAGTTCACATGTTGTTGTATAAATTATACAACAACATGAGAACTATGAACATACTGAATGGATAATATTCATATTATCCATTCATATTCAACGAGTATAAATTATACAACAACATGAGAACTTCGTTGAATATGAACCAGGATCAAAATATGTTCCATACAGCAAGGAACGGTGGCTCACGCCTGTAATCCCAGCACTTTGGGAGGCCGAGGAGGGTGGATCACCCGGGGTCAGGAGTTCTAGATCAGCCTGGCCAACATGGTAAAACCCCCGTCTCTACTAAAACTACAAAAAATTAGCCTGGCGTGGTGACACATGCCTGTAATACCAGCTACTTGGGAGGCTGAGGCAGGAGAATAGCTGAAACCTGGGAAGCAGAAGTTGCGGTGAGTAGAGATCTCGCCATTGCACTCCAGCCTGGGAGACAGAGTAGGACTCTGTTTCAAAAAAAAAAAAAATGCACTAAAAATATATTTTTTAATGGAAGTAGGCTAGGTTTTTCTATCTTTTGTTGAAGAAAGCATCTTAGTTTCAATTATCCCAGTCAACTAAATGCAGTTTTTATGTCTTTATCCTCTACAAATTATCTTTTTTAAAACAGAGAACAATGAAATGACATGCATTTAGAGAATGTGTGGTGGATACAAGAGCATATTAATGTTAAACTCCAAAAGTATTTTTTATCTTAAAGACTGAAAACAAGATAAAGATGAAGAACTCTACAAAATAGTAAGTGATTTTGTGTTGACATTGTACCAAAGCCCTGTTTGTGAAATAATGGCTCAATTATTCAGCTATTCTGAGTATTGGTAAGTGCTGCAGATACAGAAATGAAAACACAAAGCACCTGCTCTTCCAGTTTAATGAGGGGGATAGAGGGAAATCCATAATTACAACGCAGCAAATGAATGCATGAATACTGTGTGTCGTGGTTTTGCAAAGGACAGGAAGAGGGGTTTCTATCTCAGTGAGTGAATGTTTTCATAAAACCTTCCAAGAGTAGGTGAGTAAGTTTTAGAAAGTTGTGTTGGTGAGGACACCATGAGCAAAATCAGACAGGCAGGTGAACTTACAGTGTATTCGGCTAATTCTCGGCTTATTCCAACACTTGGACTTGAACAAGCTTTCTAGCCTATCTGTTTTCTCATCAAAAATAAATAGGGCTGGGCACAATGGCTCACACCTGTAATCCCAGCACTCTGAGGGCCAAGGTGGGAAGATTGCTAGAGGCCAGGAGTTTGAGACCAGCCTGAAAAACACACTGAGACCTTGTCTATACAAAACAAAATAAACAGTGGATGTGTTGAGAAGTAAAGAAAGGGTAGTCAGGATTGGACTTTTAAATGTATTCTAAGGTTTTTTATAGATTGAGAATCTGATTATTCTATTACAACTTCTTGTACTTCAGTCTAACCACTGAATAACAAAGTCATAATGTTTAAAAGATGTTCCTTTAAAATTACCTGCCTTAAAGTGAATAACCTATTTTCTAGGGATAACACTTTATTATTTTCCTCTCAGTGAGTTCTCCAGGAAGCTACATTGTTAAAGTTAAAAGTTCAGTTGGTACTTTCTGAGTTGCTTTGTTCTGTTTGTTTGGCTGACAGATATTTTGATAACACTTAAGTCATCTTAAAGCTAAAATTATCCTCGCCTGCCTTTGAAGCTTGGATCTTTGAGACTTCAACAGCCTATATATATAATTTAAAATTTATTTTAATAACAAAAATGTATTCTTTTTTTAAATTTTATTTTAAGTTCCAGGGTACATGTGTGGGTTTGTTACATAGGTAAATATGTGCCATAGTGGTTTGCTGCACCCGTACCTAGGAATTAAGCCTAGCATGCATTAGCTATTTATCCTGATGCTCCCCCCACCCACCCGGCCCTTCCTGACAGGCTCCATTGTGTGTTCTTCCCCTCCCTGTGTCCATGTGTTCTCATTGGCTGGAACATACTTATATGTTTAAAAACTTACATTATTCTAAAGTTTGTCCTAATATTCATATTAACTTGGAATAAATCTATCTTGAACCTCATCTTAGAAAACATCTTTTTCTATATAAATAAAAAAGAATCTTATCTTTTTCTTGACACCCTCTTTTAAATACTCTAAAACAACATCAACAGCTATACAAAATTCTAATATCTATTAAAGTCAACATTTGAACATAGAGAAGCTAGTATTTGTGGGATAAACATTAAAAGATTTCAGTCTTGAGGTTTAGCATTTTTTGTGACTTATATTTTTCATTAAATTCAAGAAATTATACTCAAGAAAGGAGACATTTATTATGCCTCTGTTATTCTTTCTGAAATTAGAATGGGAAGAATAGAATGAGCTTTAAAAGTATTTGAAACTATATAGATTTATTTTGCTGTTATGGGCCTGTTTATTTCAAAGCTTGACAGCAAACTGATAAGAAAACAACAATGTCATACATATTAACTGTGTGATACATTAACTTGAAAATATTCATTATGACATGTAATGAGAGGAACTGACTGTTCCATTTGTTTAAGTGATCAGAAAACTCATTTGAAGGAATAATGGGCCTTCTCTGGGAATCCAGAGAAGTTCTCTTCATAGGAAACTAAGAGAGGGCACACACAGTTATTTAAAGAAGGTCTTTATATTTGCTTTTATTAGAAAGTTTCAATCTTTGGTAGATGAACTCAAGCAATTATTTGGGAAGACAGAGGGTTCTTAGGTTGGACTGAGTTAACTGGATATTCAACTTGCTTCAGTTAGTGATGTGGAACACCCAAGACAGGAAAAAGAGAAATTACTACAGTTTAAAATATATTGGGATAAAAGAGCTCACCTTGATGTATCACTCTAAACAAAACGGGTCTTCCCCTCCTTGGAATCCCATACCATTAAGGGAATTTCGTTAACAGTATGAACTCCAGACAGTGTTGCTTCAATCTGCTCATCACAGACTGTCTTGGCTGTTGCTCTATGCTGTTGGTGTGTATGGGCTGCACTTGGAAGTTAAAACCTTTAGAGTGGCCAGTTCTCATCATATAGGGCTCCCTTGCGAACCCCCTGCAACCACAGACACACAATCCTGTGAGATTCTCAAGGGACTTTTTGGATCTTTGACCAAAATCATCATTGCAGTCATCTTTGACAGCACCACCAGCATCAAGCTCCTCTCTGGGGTGGCTCAAAACATCCTACCTGCTTTTCTGTTTTTGATAAAAAGACAACAGTTAGAACAACCAAGCATCACTTGTCCTGAGGACTTGGCCCACTCTCTTGTTTTGAGAATGAAGAAAGGATGATATAGAAGAGAACACCATGCATAGGCTTCAATAGCCTGTGATTATAAAATGAAGGCCACTCTAGCTTTTAAAAGTTACTCTCTTTTTCAAAGGGGTAATACATGCATGTGATTCTAAGTTCAAAAGGCACCAAAAGGGATGCAGTGAAAATCTTCCTTCCACCTCATTACCCAGATAGTTTGTTTCCCCAGAGAAAACCAATTTCACAAATATTTTATGTGTAGATAACTTTATATGTATATTATTATTTCTCCTTCCTCCTCCTCCTCCATCTCGTTTTCTTCTTCCTCCTCCAGCTCTTATTCTACTTTCAATGACCTCTCCTCTTATTCTACTTTCAATGACCTCATAGTAGTTTATTTTGTGGCCATGGCATAATTTACTCAGTAGTCTCCCATTCATAAATATTCAGGTAGATAATATTTTTGACATAGGTGCCAAAGAAATTCATTGATGAAAGGATTGTCTTTTCAACAAAAGGGGCTAGAGCAATTTTACATCGATAGGCAAAAAGAAAATAAAACAAAATCATGCAAAATAATTTTGACCTAAACCACTCACCTAATTCAAAAATTAATTAAAAATAAATAATTTAACCTAACACTTTTAGAAGGAAACATAGGTTAACAATCTTCATAACCTGGGAGTAGGGGAAAAAAAAAAAAAAATATATATATATATATATATATAATACCAAAAGCACAATTCATAAAGGAAAAATTTTTAAATGATTCTTTATCAAAATTAAAAAATGTTTTCTCTGTGAAGGACACTTAAGAGAATGAAGAGAGAAGTTAAAGAGTAAGATAAAATATTTTCAAATCATATATTCTACAAAAAAGACCTGTATCTATTACACATAAAATTTAGCAATAAGAAAGCAAACTCCCTAAGTTAGAAAATGAGCAAAAACCTTGACTAGACACTTCACCACAAATAATATACAGAAGGCAAATATGCATGTGAAAAGATGTTCAACATTGTCAGACACATAGGGAATGCCAATGAAAACAAATGAGATATCACTTTAAGGTTATTAGAAGGTTAAAAAAAGATAATATCTAATGTTCTGCCACTGTAACTCTCAAACATTGTCAGTTGGAATACAGAATGGTACGACCACTGTGGAAAATAGTTTGGCAGTTTCTCATAAAATTAAACATACACTTATGGTTCAGCAATCTCACTCCTAGGTATTTACTCAAGAGAAATGAAAACCTATGTTCCAGTAAAAATCTATATACAAACGTTTATAGCAGTTCTCTTCATAAGAGCTAAAACTGGAAACCACCCAAGGGGTCAATATGTAAACAAAACTGTGGTACACCTTTCAAAGAGTGAATGCTTAAGCAAAAAAACAAACAAACAAACAAAAAAAAACAGTGGTACAACCATCCAGTTGGATACCACTCGGTAACAAAAAGGAACCAAACTATTGATACACACAGCCGCTTGAATGAATATCAGAGACATTGTGCTGAGTTAAAGAAGCCAATTTCAAAATGTTACATGCTATATGATTCCATGTATATGACCTTCTTAAGAAGAAAGAATTCTATCAATGGAGAACAGCCCATGTTTGCCAGGGGCTGGGGATGAGGGAGAATATGACGACAAAGGGGTAGCTTGAGGACGTTTTTGGTGTGGCAGGACTGTCTATATCCTGACTTCGGTGGTGGTTACATGAATCTATATTTGTGTTAAAATCCACAGAACTATACCCTTTCAGAAAATCAATATTATGTTTACTTAAAAAAAATTAAAAACAAAATAGAAAAAACTTCCTAGCACTCCCTATGCTCCTAAAGAAATAATAGTCAAGACAATTTTGAAAAGAAGGAACTGGTGAAAGGACTTATTCAGCTAGATATAGATATCAAGACTTATTATAAAGTTATATTAATTAAAATAGTATGGTATTGTCACAAGATTAGACCGACCAATGAAAAAGATTAAAGCCCAGAAATGAATCTATGCATAGACAGATATCTAATTTATAAAAAAGGTGGCATTGAAGAGCAATGGACAAAGGATGGTCATTTAAACAGATGGTGCTGGGACAGCCTGAGTGTCTATATAGAAGAGAGATCAACTACAAGTTATATTGTTGGTCTCAATATGAGAGACAAAACAATAAAGCTTTTGGAAGACAGTATAGAAGAATGTGTTCATAGTCTCAATGTCGGGAAATATCGATTTAAACAGAATAATGAAAAATACAAATAAGGCTATTCATCACACTTGTTTATATAATAATAAGTTAGAAATAATCCAAGCGTTCAATAATCATAAAGGCTTAAATCATGAATGGAATAAATATTACCATGCAAGTAATCTTTTCAAATAATATTTAATAATATGGCAAAATGTTTGCAATATAACATTAAGTGACAAAAGCCATGAGCTAAGCTATAAATATTTGTTACTAGAAATATACTGGAAATAAATATATAAGATATTATCTCTGGTTTTTGAGTCAGGATATGGTTAGCACACTCGGACTAGGTATTTTGAAAAGCATTTAATAAAAGAACATTTTACAAAGGTATGAGAAGGATTTAATAAGAGAGATTGCCAGAACCTGAGTGAGTGGCTGTGTGGAGTGGGCTGTCTTACAGGAGCTGAGGCATTTTATCAACAGATGCTGCAGGGAGTGTACAAGGAGAGTAAATACCCCAGCCTCTGTCCTCTACCTCTCCACTCTCCTGCTGATGTTTCTCATTGCCCAAGCCCAACAGGAAGCCACAAGGCAAGGAAGCTGGTTAATGTAGCCCATACAGATCAGGCTCTCGGGGCACAATGCAGGGTGAAGAAGGCAAGAGAGTGGATTTGCAGAAGCACATGGGAGGTATCCAGTACATCTGGATGGTGGGATTAGTGGTGATGATGGGTTTTTTTTCATTATAGGTTTTTTCCTCCAAATTTCAAGAAAGAACAGCATTAGTTTAAAATGGGAAAAATGTGTCATCAAACCCTAGACATATTTTCTTCACATCTCAACATAGCATGCATTAGGGGCTGGGGAGTATGTTCATGCAAGGGTGTATATGTACATCCTTTTATTGTAGAACCTGTCATTACAGTACTGGAAACAACCCAATGCCCATCAACGATTGAATGAATAAATAAAATGCAAGTATATTCCTATAATAGATCCTATATGGCAATGACTAGAATAAAATCCTGACTCCTTACCACGGTTTACAAAGCCCTGGCACCACTCGCTTTACCATTTGCTCCTGCCTCCATTCTGCTGTAGCTAAACTGACCTTTCTGTTCTTTAAATATGTCACTTACTCTGCCCTAGCGCCTTTGATCTAGGTGTTCCCTCTTCCTGGAATAAAAAGCTCCCTGACTTTTCCATGGCTGGCTACTTCTTGCCACTTAGGACTCATCTTAAATGATGTCTCTTTAGAGATGGCTTCCTTAACCACCAAATCTGAAGTAGCTCTTAAAATCAACCTGTTTGGGCCGGGCGCGGTGGCTCAAGCCTGTAATCCCAGCACTTTGGGAGGCCGAGGCGGGTGGATCACGAGGTCAGGAGATCGAGACCATCCTGGTCAAAATGGTGAAACCCCCGTCTCTACTAAAAATACAAAAAATTAGCTGGGCATGGTGGTGCGTGAGTGTGATCCCAGCTACTCAGGAGGCTGAGGCAGGACAATT